ATTCAAACTGCTCAGAGCAGTAGGAGTTAGACAGATGTTCTTAGCTCTGGATTTGGTTTGAGAGCATTTATATTTTTTGTGCAACCTGGTTCATCAGAGATATATATATATAGTGTGTTTTAGCAACAATAATGACAAACTGTTGCCTGAGGGATAAAGGGGCCAGATCCCTCCAGGACTCGTGGCGAGAGGTTCTTAGGGTACAGTCGGAATAGGCATATTCGGCAGCCCCCACAGGAGAATGGATGGTTTTCACTGGCGTGGAGTCCTGGAAGAGGGGCAGTTGTGGGTATAGCAAGGCCAGAGTCCAGAGTGTGCGCTCCGTGATGCGGCGGGGTCCAGATGAGGCACCAGGCTAGATTTAGTCCATTCCACTGTGTGGGTCCCGCGTGGCTGCAGGCCACGTGGTGAATGCAGGTGGGAGCCCCACAGGCAGGCTGGTGCAGGCAGCAAGGGGGAGAGAGAGCGAGCGCAAGGGCTGGCTGGGCTCTCCTTTGTCAGGGGATGAAACATTCAGGTTACCCAGCACCTGCAGTGGCCACGCCTATTCTGGCCACTGACTGGCTCCCAGGTGGGCATCTCCCACGTCACTCAGACCTTACTGGGCATGCGTCTAAAATTGCCTTTGTCAGTCCTTTTCCCGTCAATCGTCAATAAGTGGGGAGCAGCCTGTAGTGTTAAACTAGCTGATCTTCCCTTTACTCCTTTCCTATTCAGTAGTAACCAGGTTATTGCAAAGGTATCAAATCCATCAAGTTTTCATTCATTGTTTACCAAGTTAAGAAGGCTTTTGAATTTTTTATTCACAGTTTATAAAGGCAGCAGCACTGGTAAGTGAGACTCGAGAACAGAGAGGGGGACGCAGGAAGCTGCCTCTGCTCCCGCGGTGTGTCCCTGCTCTGCTCCCGCGGTCTGTCCCTGCTCTGCTCCCGCGGTCTGTGCCTGCTCTGCTCCCGCGGTCTGTGCCTGCTCTGCTCCCGCGGTCTGTCCCTGCTCTGCTCCCGCGGTCTGTCCCTGCTCTGCTCCCGAGGTCTGTCCCTGCTCTGCTCCCGCGGTCTGTCCCTGCTCTGCTCCCGCGGTGTGTCCCTGCTCTGCTCCCGCGGTCTGTCCCTGCTCTGCTCCCGCGGTCTGTCCCTGCTCTGCTCCCGAGGTCTGTGCCTGCTCTGCTCCCGAGGTCTGTGCCTGCTCTGCTCCCGAGGTCTGTCCCTGCTCTGCTCCTGAGGTCTGTGCCTGCTCTGCTCCCGCGGTCTGTCCCTGCTCTGCTCCCGCGGTCTGTCCCTGCTCTGCTCCCGAGGTCTGTCCCTGCTCTGCTCCTGCGGTCTGTCCCTGCTCTGCTCCTGCGGTCTGTCCCTGCTCTGCTCCTGCGGTCTGTCCCTGCTCTGCTCCTGAGGTCTGTCCCTGCTCGGCTCCCGAGGTCTGTGCCTGCTCGGCTCCGAGGTCTGTCCCTGCTCTGCTCCCGAGGTCTGTCCCTGCTCTGCTCCTGTGGTCTGTGCCTGCTCTGCTCCTGAGGTCTGTGCCTGCTCTGCTCCTGAGGTCTGTCCCTGCTCTGCTCCTGAGGTCTGTCCCTGCTCTGCTCCTGAGGTCTGTGCCTGCTCGGCTCCCGAGGTCTGTCCCTGCTCTGCTCCCGAGGTCTGTCCCTGCTCTGCTCCCGAGGTCTGTGCCTGCTCGGCTCCCGAGGTCTGTGCCTGCTCTGCTCCTGTGGTCTGTGCCTGCTCTGCTCCCGAGGTCTGTGCCTGCTCTGCTCCTGAGGTCTGTGCCTGCTCTGCTCCCGAGGTCTGTCCCTGCTCTGCTCCCGAGGTCTGTGCCTGCTCTGCTCCTGTGGTCTGTCCCTGCTCTGCTCCCGAGGTCTGTCCCTGCTCTGCTCCCGAGGTCTGTGCCTGCTCTGCTCCTGTGGTCTGTGCCTGCTCTGCTCCCGAGGTCTGTGCCTGCTCTGCTCCTGAGGTCTGTGCCTGCTCTGCTCCCGAGGTCTGTCCCTGCTCTGCTCCTGAGGTCTGTGCCTGCTCTGCTCCTGTGGTCTGTGCCTGCTCTGCTCCCGAGGTCTGTGCCTGCTCTGCTCCTGAGGTCTGTGCCTGCTCTGCTCCCGAGGTCTGTCCCTGCTCTGCTCCTGAGGTCTGTGCCTGCTCTGCTCCTGAGGTCTGTCCCTGCTCTGCTCCTCAGGTCTGTCCCTGCTCTGCTCCTCAGGTCTGTGCCTGCTCTGCTCCTGTGGTCTGTGCCTGCTCTGCTCCCGAGGTCTGTCCCTGCTCTGCTCCCGAGGTCTGTGCCTGCTCGGCTCCCGAGGTCTGTGCCTGCTCTGCTCCTGAGGTCTGTCCCTGCTCTGCTCCTGTGGTCTGTGCCTGCTCTGCTCCTGAGGTCTGTGCCTGCTCTGCTCCTGAGGTCTGTGCCTGCTCTGCTCCTGAGGTCTGTCCCTGCTCTGCTCCTGCGGTCTATGCCTGCTCTGCTCCTCAGGTCTGTCCCTGCTCTGCTCCTCAGGTCTGTCCCTGCTCTGCTCCTGAGGTCTGTCCCTGCTCTGCTCCCGCGGTCTGTCCCTCCTCTGCTCCCGCGGTCTGTCCCTGCTCTGCTCCCGCGGTGTGTCCCTGCTCTGCTCCTCAGGTCTGTCTCTGCTCCAAGCAGTACAGTGCCTCTGCCGTGTTTTTACACTTTTATTTGGGGGCATAGGGATGAAGACTTTCAGCATGAGTATACTTTAAAGATTATTCTTTCAGCTGTGGAAGGAAGAGCAGACTACCTCAATCTTCGATGGGGGTCGTGTTTGTGGCACGTGGGAGATTGGAGAATGAATGCATTTGTTTTATGCACCATTTGCAATTGGTTGCATTTTCTACAATTTTTTTTCTTTAATTACAAAATGGCACAGTATTGTTACAGAAACTTTGGAGAAAATATTGCACACACACAAAATCTGCCATCCCACCTGTCAAATACCACCACTCTCAATATCCGAATGTATTTTCTTCTAATCTTTTTTCTATACAAACAGATAGACTGTGTATGTGTGTATATACACACACACATATATATTTTTTATCCTCACCCGAGGACATTTTTGCATTTATCTTCAGATAGAATGGGAGGGAGATAGGGAGGAAGTGAGAGAGACAAACATTGATGTGAGAGAGACACATCGACTGGTTGTCACCCACACAACCCCGACTGGGGCTGGGGGAAAACTGCAACCGAGGTACATATCCTTAGTGGGAACCAAACCCAGGACTCTCTGGACCACAGGCTGACACTTTAACCACTGAGCCAAACTGGCCAGGGCTACACACATATTTTTACAAAATCAGATCACATTCCAAGTTTTGCTTTTAACATTGCCCAGGACTCCTGGAAGATAAGATGCTGTACAGTAGTCCTGGGGCCTGGTTCCAGCGGGCTCATGGACCAGGACTGAGCGGGGAGCCGGCAGGGACCCCACAGCGGGCTCTCTTGCTCTCCCTGAATCTCCAGGACTGGGCAGTCTAGCAGAGGTCTTCCCGCACGTAGAAAGCCCTGGTTTTGCTATCTGGACAGACAGGAATGTATCTGGAACGACGACAGAACTTGTCTCAGTGTGGAGAGAGGCTACTTCCCTTAGGGGCTTAAGCGAGGTTTTCGTAAGTTGATGTTGATTCCACACGCAAATTCCACGTTTTGCGCTCTGCATGCTCAGAAACACGGAGCACGGTGCCTTGCTGACCAGCAGAACGCTCAGCGGCCTCGCCACTTGCGAGTGGACATCTTGGCGAACAGGCAGCGTGGCTGGGCTGTTCCCGTTTTAGGGACAGAAAATACAGTCTCTGAAAAACTGAGCCGATTCACCTGCTGCGAGGCTCTGCACCTGTGAGGACAGGTGGGGTCCTCTTATCCAAAGCGATGTTGGCACAGGTGACCTGTCTTCTCGCATAAGTAAAGGTTCTCCTCTGAGCACTCTCTTGGCTAGAACAACAACTTCATTTGCCAGTGAGGAAAAGACCACATATTAAGACCCCAAATTCTTAATATGTATAATCCCAGACGTGACCTAACCCTGAAATTTAGGATTCTCTCATGTGCTGGGGATTGCAACCGAGGCGGGGCAGGGAAGATATTTTTAGTTCATCAAGATGTAAACAACAGAACCTCATTTTTATTTGCATAAAAATGCTCATCTTTACCTACAAGTCAATGGTTCTTAGTTGGGGAGCCTTTGCCTTCCAGGGGACATTTGTTAATGTCAGGAAATATTTTGGTGTCCCCGTGGGGCAAGGGAGTCAGTTCCTCTGGCGCCAGAAGCTTTGAGGGGTGCCGCTGAACATCTTACAAAGCACAGGACAGCCCCCACAGCAGAGAATGGTCTGGCCCTAAATGTCAAATGTGCTGAGGTTGAGAAACTGGCAGAGATTGTGGTAAGACTGAAGGAGCAGATGAATGAATCATGTCTTTAATTTTCTATATTTTGTGCTGTTCTGACATCTTAGAAAGCTTGCTGGCCACGGAAAGAGAGCCCTTCCCAGGGCTTGCCCCTTCTCAGAGGCCGCGAAATGCTTGGCTGCTAGCATCTAAACCACCCCTGCCTCTGTGGCTCCAACTTCTTCCTTATCTAACTGCCGCCCGCAAAGTCATGTTGCCCCTGTTCTCAGTCATCCCAGGGCCGGGTGCCAGGCAACTAGGGACCATGTCTATAGACTAAAGCCCTCTGGAATTATTCACAGTAGCCAGTCCTAGACTGTTTACTCTGCCCTTCCTTGACTTTGCCATGGAAACCCCAAGAAAGGCTCTGGCTTAGACTTTCCTTTTGGTGGTAACGTCTGCCACCTGATCGAAACCTGGAGCTTCTGCTGTGGCTCTGCCTGGCAGGTGGCGCCCCCTGTCTGAGACCTCATTCTTCCTTCTCAGCTGCTCTGACGTCGCCATACCAGGCCCAACACTCGCATTCTTAGAACAGGGGGTGATGAACTAGTTCAGTCTCTCATGTTCACAACTGGTCTATTCCTGGGGAAATCTACTTTTCAAAAGTAGGGGAGAAACCATCCACATACTTTCTCAGGGCGCTCTTCCCCTGACGATCTTCCTCTCGTTCCCGGTACCAAGTCTGTTTGCTGATTTCTTTTTCCCAGAAGCTTTTGAGCTCGTGACAAGTTTCACAGCAAAAGACTTCCCGGCGGATGTATTGATTGTTCATCCCCTAGAAAACAAACAAATGAACACACAAGCAAACACAAAAAACAAACCCCAGCCCTCTGAACCAAGAGTGTGTACAAAGTGGATAACTTTGCAAATAGTAAATAGGCACTCAGCAAATGTCACGTCATCCCATCCTTCCTCACAGAATAAGTGACTTCTATGGTTTACTGAGCACACATTGAGCTAGGCATTTTAACACCTTTTAAAATTTTTATTTTAGAGAGAGAGAAAGAGAGAGAGAAACATCAATGAGGGAGAACATTGACTGGCCGCCTCCTGCATGCTCCCCACTGGGGATTTGGTCCATAACCTGGGCATGTCGGTCATGTGCCCCGACGGGGAATCGATCTAGTGACCTCTCGGTGCATGGGTAGACACTCAACCACTGAGCCACACTGGCCAGGCCAAGCTAGTCATTTTAAACACACAAGTCCTCACTACAGCTTGGAGATGGGTGATTGCACACTCATTGGCCTGATGTTAAAACAGAGAATTTGTCTGTTGCCTCATAACTGAAAGAGTAGGAATTTGAACCTAGGTCTGTCTTTCTTCAAAGTAGATTCTCCTCCGTAGATCCTCATCCTAAGAGATGGCCACTGTATTTGAAAATGGTCACACCCAAAACAAGTTTGTTTGGTATGTGTGTATGTACCCCATGAAAATACATATGTTCACTCAAAAATGTTTACTTTTTATCTGAACACTGACCATTCCCAGATCTTAGTTTCTCTGGCAGGCAGGTGGATGCAAAGGTCTGCACAAGAGACTGCCCCTGCCTGGTGGTGCCTGCTCAGAGCACGCCGCAGCCTGCTGGGAGGAGAAAGGCCCTGGGTGTTCACTCTCCTACTGCAAATCCCACTGATCCACGAACCAGGATTTCCCTGGGAAACCATAGGATTGGGGTGGGAAAGGCCTTTAGAAAATGGCATAACACTTCTTTATTACTGTATATGTATCACAGAATAGTAATTCTATGTTATAGAATTATAATGTTTTATAATAGAGAATAATATGTAATATAATACAGAACATATCATTGGTAATATAGAATGATTTATAATGTAGAACAACACAGAATATTTTATATTTTATTTATATTCTGTTTCTTTTTTTTCCTTTATTGGTTTTAGAGAGAGAGGGAGAGAGAGATAGAAACATTGATGAGAGAGAACATCGATTGGCTGCCTCCTACATGCCTCCCACTGGGGATCTGGCCCACAACCCGGGCATTCATCCTGCCTGGGAATCGAACCGGTGACCTCTTGGTGCATGGGTCAACACTTAAACACTAAGCCACACTGGCTGGCCTATATTCTGTTTCTGACAACAGACTGCCACCTGTGTCAGAGAGGAGGCAGGACCTTCCAACTTGGAAGGATGGTAAACGCTCTGAGTAAGAGCAAGCTTGGTTCTTGGAACTGGAAGTAGCTTTAAGAATTCTACAAAGATGGAAAAAAAACACTTCTCTTATTTTTCCTCCTAGACCCAGAATCTTCTGCTCATTTCTGTAGCCAAGGGCATGCGTGGTTCAGGCAGGGTGGGATGAGAGCGGATGGGTGTGTGGAGAGAAGGGAGAGACAAGGTTCTGAGTGCCTGCATCTGCCAGGGGCTCCATGGGTGATTCTCACTTATTGTCACACACAGGTTCGTAAAAGCCATTGTTCTCTCGCTGTGCCCATTAATAAATTGCTGTTTAAAATTGAAATATATATAGTGTAAATTTAAGGTGTACAACATGCCTATTTGACAAATTCATATATATTATAACACGATTCCTACTGTAGTGATAGTACCTCTCACACATCACCTACTTATCATGTCTTTTTCTGGTGGGAATAATTAAGATCTAGATTCTGGGCAAGCCTGACTGTGCTGATACAGTGCTGTTTATGTTCACTACACTGTGCATTAGCTCTCCGGGACTTATTATCCAATTAGCTGCAAGTTTTCACCCTTAAGTAACATCTCTCCTATTTCCCCACCCCTTACCATTGAAAACTACCATTTTACTCTCTCTTTTGGTGGGTTCAGCTTTTTAAATTTTTATTTATTATTTTTAAAATTTTCACCTGAGGATATGTTTATATTGATTTTTGAGAGACAAGGAGGGAGTGAGTGAGAGAAAGAGAAACAATGATGTGAGAGAGAAACATTGATTGCCTGCCATATGCATCCCAGGGTTTGAACCTGCAACCTGGAAATGTGCCCTAACCTGGAATCAAACCTGCAACCTTTTGCTTTGTGGGATGATGCTCCAACCAACTGAGCTCCCCGGCCAGGGTAGCTCAGCTTTTTTTAGATTCTATGTATAAGAGATATCATACAGTATTTGTCTTTCTATGTCTGACATTTCATTTAGCATATGTCCTCAAAGTCCATCTATGTTTTTGAAAATGACAAGATTTTTTTTCTCATGGCTTAATAATATTCTTTCCATTTGATATGTGTGTGTGTGTGTATATATCTCACATCGTCTTTACCCATACATCACTACTCATCAGGGAAATGCAAATCAAAACCACAGTGAGAGATCACCTCACATCTGTTAGAATAGCTATTATCCAAAAGACAAAAAATAACAAATGAAGGATGTGGAGAAAAGGAACCCTTGTGCACTGTTGGTGGGAATGTATGTTGGTGCAGCCACTGTGGAAAACAGTATGGAGAGTCCCCAAAAATTTAAAAATAGGTTTGTTATAAGATCCAGCAGTTACACTGCTGGGTATATACCCAAAGGAAATGCAAAGATACTGAAGCAATATCTGCATTCCCATGTTGCAATTTCAATTGCATTGTTCACAATAGCTACGATATGGAAACAACCTAAGTGTCCATCAATGGATAAATGGATAAGGGAATGGATTTCTGAGACGTGAATTGACCTTGAGGTCATACAGTGTGAGGGTGGAGGAGCCATAAGCATCCAGAGCCAGTCCCCTCCCTGCCACACACACCGGTGGCCCTGGAAAGAGAAGGGGTGACTTTGGTGTCCTCTCCGCCTTGGAGGTGCTCAGAGGTCCTTCACTTTCCTGTGGCTCATGGACACTGAGGATCCTGTGACTTCTCAGAGTAGAGTTTCTTGAAGAAAAATGGCCAGATCTTATTTTGGTTTTTAATATTGTGAAGCTTAGTTATTCTTCATTAAATGAAAATAACTCCTTCCAACTTAATTTTCTCATAAAAAGAGCCTGGAAATGGCAACGGCCCCTCAGGAGTATCCCAGACACTGGGGGAAGGTGGGACTTCAGGGGGAGTTGGGTGGGGTGGTGGTGAGCGTGTACTTTCTGGGTGAGGGAAGCGATCCCGTCCAGCTACCCTGTCGCCTGGCCTTCCCGGCACTGCCGCCTGGTGCTCGCACACATCTCTCCGAGCCTGCCAGGAGCACACTCTGTGCCTTCTAAGGGCATGTTCCCCTTACGTTCTATCCTAGGCTAAGGCGTGGGCACAGAGACTTCTAACACATTCCAAGACCCTCGACATCGAAAGAGTTGTTAACAAACGTAAATATCAGATTTTATGTTTTATTTCTAGCAAGAGAATACGGGGTGTGGGCCCCTCTCAAGCAGTCTGGTTTCTCGTGGATCTAGTGCAAGCTGTAGGGCCATCGCAGCCTCTGATTTCCCTGGGTGGCCTCTGCCTGCATGAATGCCAGGTAAGAAAATAATGCTTTCTTTGAACTGGGAAGAAGGCATTCATGCAGAACTTGCCATTTGACCACACAATAGATAGCACGTGATTTATACACATATCGCTGTGTTCAAAATGCTCCTAAAAATGCCAAGTTCATATTAGATATCTGTTATGCAGAGAAGCAATTTGGTTTAATAGGAATGTTCATCTTTTTTTGAAATTTAGATTTAACATTTTCTACTGAAAAACTTTTCATTAAAAATAAAAAGTCTGGCTGGTGTGGCTCAGTGGTTGAGCGTCAACACCTGCACCACGAGGTCACTGGTTCGATTCCGGGCAGGCCACAGGCCGAGGTTGTGGGCCTGATCCCCAGTGTGGGGCATGCAGGGGGCGGCCCATCGATGTTCTCTCTCATCGATGTTTCTCTCTTTCTCTCCCTCTCCCTTCCTCTCTCTCTGAAATCAAAAAAGGAAAAAGAAAAAAGAAAAAAGAAAAGAGGCTTCCACGGAGCACAGAGGGCTCCCACCACCACCATCACGTCATTTCACACTGCATATTCGCTCCGTTTGGTAAAGAGGGGTGTGCTGGGTATGGATGGAGGATTTATGTAGCAGACCCCACCACTGAGTCGTTATGAGAGAGGTTCAGGGAAGTAGCTGAAAGCAGGTGCTGTTCACACGAAGTCAGGTAAGCACACAGGAAGCCAGGCAGCAGGCTCTGTGGAAGCTGGGGCACGCTGGCTCTGCTTCCTGTTCCCTTTGGGTCCGAAAGCACCTCTGGGGCCTCTGTTTTCATCAAGGAGCGTGAGTGAGGCGCTGTGAACTTCGGGAGGACTGCAGGAAGGATCGTGAGCTCAGATGCCCTCAGAGGCCGAGCAGGCATCACAGAGCGGTGAAGCCAGCAGAGCCGAGACAGGGAGCAGCAGGCACCAGGCACCTGCAGGACACTCGCTGTGCTCCGGGCAGCGCACTCGGGAAGGGCAGAACACTGCCCACCAGAGAAAAGGGGGCTTTCTGCTAAGTGCTGTCGGAGGGCACCCTGGGTGCCCCTCTTCAAGGATGCATTTTCTATCTACAGTTTGGCGTTCTGTCTTCCTTAGCTTTTCTCAGAACCTCTCCTCATGCTCTCGCTGCAGGGCACCCTGAACTCTCTCACATTCTTTCTGCCTCCCTCTTTTCTGCCCAGTCTCTCAACTGCCAGGTTCCTGCCTCTGTGCCCGAGCATGTGAACACCCACCCCCAAACCAGCCAGACGAGCCCAAGCTGTCATCCAGCAGCAGCAGGGTTGGAATTCTACACCAAGCTCTCCTCACCCCCTGGGGACATGTCGACACCACTCTCCTGCCCGCCAGACACAGCAGTGGTCCGCCTC